TCAGGTAACTTCCTGTTTGATATGTTTTGATAGTGATGTCACATTGCTTCGAGGTGAAAGGATGCTAACTATGTACATTAGGAGTTGTTTCTATCATCTACCACTCAGATTTATTCCAGCTACTAAAGAAAGAATTCAGCTGACACTTAATAGCTCGGCATCATACAGAAGGAAGAAAACAGTGATATCTGAATGGTATGATAATTTTGCAAAACTTGAGGTTCCTGGCAGTTCTAACTATGTCAAAATATGATCAATGATGAATTACATTCCAGACCTCCTAAAGGCCAATAATGCATGTTCCCCAAACACGATAATCAGTGATATTTGTCACCATTATGATTTATGTGATATTCTTGCACCCATACTATGTAAACCTGCATATTTTGATAGCATTCAACTGCACGAGCACATCAGTCTGTTGTTGTTTCTCTTGTTGTTAGTTAGTGTTCGTGCAAAATAAGTTTTCTTGCTCTGGAACAGGTCAATAAAATATTACTGCAGTTATGTATTTGCTGTAGGTGATTCAGGCAGTTTTCATGGGCCAAAAGCTGAAACCTTCTCTTCGAGTCCATTGTAGATGAGATTGACAAGCAGTCTGCAGAGGGCTTTCACCTGAACAAATACACCAAGCATGCAGTTTGCATTACAGAGAGTGATCTGCCGTAAAAGTCATAAATCAGACATTACCTACACTTCAGACCACAAGAACAGAATGGGGTACTGTAGGTTCTGTTCATCAGCACAATACACTAGTCGATGTACTGTCTATCCAAATGAAAAATATTTCTGTGATACACGTGATACCGTTGGCCATCGGAATATATCTGTATTTGATTGTTTGCATATCGATATGGTGTAACGATTTCATGTGGACTGCATGCATCTCGTTTGCCTGAGTGGCTTGTACATATGTGGCTTATGCTGGCAATCGGTAGACAGTTGGGTCCGAAAATTCATATGATAGCTTATACCAACACTGGAGATTGTAACTTGCATTTACAAAGTTTCAACGGAAATGTAGGAAGCTGGAATTTGTCCATTCATTGAAGTCAAGTGAATTCAGGCCTTTCCATCGCTATATAGCTAGCTATAAAATAGAGTTGGAAGGTTATTAGCTGCTTCTATACCAACGTGTAATTTTGCTATATGATCTTATGTGAACTCACTTCCAGCTTGCATTTGACTTTTCTTAGTTTATTTGTTCAGTAGTTCACAAGATGGATAAAGAGGGGAGGTTGGCCATGGTGATATCAACTCTACCCCAGAGGATTAATCCAGTTGCCACAGAAACTTCAAAATACCGAAAAATGTTCTAAAAACGTTGTTCTTCCCATGTTTAGTGGGCCGCGTCTCCATTTTCTTAAGATTGAGATGAAGTCTATCCGGTTTTTGGTGCATCCATCAGGTGAAATCCATGTTGCCTTGTGTATATCCCTATGCTTGTACACACTGCTTCCAATCATCAAATCATTGAAGGTGCAAAACTCTGCTAACAGTACTCCGCTTTCATTCACTTCGCCGAGAGCCTCTCGACACATGATGAGTTCTCTTCCTGCACTGTCTGCCCCCAGTTTGGCCGGCTCCATTTGGGATGTTGTCCACTACTGTTTGCAGTGTTCTACATAAATCTTCCTTCGTCTCTAGTTCCGAGTTGTCAGTAAGTTCGTAGCGTTGAATAACTGTGACCTTCCTTCCTTTTGAGTTGAATCTTGCTGTCATAATTCTAAAGGAGATTGATTCCCACTGCATCAAGGTTTTGGTTGCTATCGGTAACACTCCCTCAGTGTACTGGTGGTTGTCATCTGGGTGATCGGAGCAAATTGCTGACTCTCAAGCTGACAATTTGGATTGTCCACATCCATTCTACTTGCTCTTGCAGGTTCCAAGCACTTCTATACCATATCTTCACATTTCTCTGGCTACCTGGGCAGCCTTCCCAGCTTCGTACATTGTACGAATATTCCACGCCCAAATTCTTATTTTTGCTTTCATCGTATGAGGACACATCAGCTGACGAGCTTTGGGAAGGTTATCACCAGCCCACGTCATTTCGCCTCTCCGATTTCAGCTAAAAATACGTTTATTTTTTATTTTGTTGTGTTTCGAAGCTTCTGTAGCAACTGGACTGATTTTTCTGGGTAGGGTTGTTAGCGCCACACCCGACCGGGTCTAAGACCAACTAGCAAGCTAGCGGACTAGGTGTAATGAATCAAGCTTGCTGTAAATTTATACTGAACTTTGACTTTTGCTACTTTAACATTGATTTGGCTTAAAATAATGGATGCAAGGTTCGAGTTTCAGCAGGAACACTACCAGTGAAAATGAAGGTACACTCAGCTGATGAATCCCAAAAATAATAAAATACTCATCCTGAACTCGAGTACTGGTCACTATCAACCAAAATAATTTCGCGTTAATCCCTGCAGACATCGTTGAGGCATATGTTTTAGGAGCCGACATTTCAAGAGACCGAACATTTCGGTCCAAAACAATGAGTCAACATCAAAATGTAAAATAACCTTAAAATAAAAAGATGGAATAGCATTGTTTAAAACTGATTCACCAGCGGAAGGGGTAAGAAAAGATCCGAAGCAACAGTTCTTTGTTTACTCTGTGTTACAAAAATGTTTACAAAAATAATAAGTATACTGTAACTGTTGGTTTAAATTAAAACTGTATTTTGCTGTATAGAAACCAGATATTAATAATGGGTCTACTCTATCAAGAATAATCTGTTTATCATATTGAATTATTAGTAGAAATGAACAGATCTATTCATGAAATAAATAAAATAATCATACTAAGAGAGAAATTGTTCAATGGACAGTAACAGTTAGACTCACCACATCGGTGAATTAGAACGAGAGTAATCAGTACAGCAAAACTGTACCACTTCATCTAATCTAAGTACCCTGTTCTGAGTTTTACAGCTTCCAAAATATAAGGTGAAATGTAAGTGATTTATACCCACAAAGCTTTTGTTAAAGGAGATTAAAAAAATTTTGATCAAGAGAGAAAACGAAGTAAATGCGGAATTCTAGAAACTATTCATGTGTTTCGCAGATTTCATCAATGACTTAATGTATTTACTGTGACGGAGAGACAGGGCTGGAAAGTGTAGAAGAACAGTAGTTATTTAGAACAACAAGAGATAACTGCGGATTCCATAGGCGTAATGAGAACCTAAAAGGCTCCCATTACCTGAGCAACTAATACGAGGTGTACAAGATAATGTGGTAGTTAACAAATTAGAAATAAGTAGGTTAAAAAATACCACAATAAGTCAACTTCAGTCATTTTCATCGATCAAATTTGTTAAAGCAAAGAGGAGTGAATGAGTTCTTAATGTAAAACAACTGGTCCGTATTATTAACTTGGATAGTGTAATTAGAAGACGGAGATTATCTGAAAAATGTGATGTAATTGCTCAATTCATTTAGAACTATCGCATCACACATTCACTTGTCAACTCAATTTATAGCAAAAATAAGAGTCAATTAAAATATACAAAGTGACAAAAACGAATTTTACAATAACGCGAATAATTAACACCACATGTGACTATATAATCAGATAAGGATTACACAGGTAGCTGACGAGTAATAATTAACTGCTTCCGTACACACAAGGGACTTTAGTTCACGAATAGCCAACTCTCCAGCCTATTTCAGTAAGCGCCACTGACCGTTTCTAAAAATAACCGTGAAGTCCGTTTCAAAATCGATCTTGTGGTTCATTTTGATGAGATATCTAGCTATAGACGAAGCTGATAGTCTACCACCTGAGTCTATCGATTTTCCAAAGTTCATCTGTTTTTATTTAACCACTTCGGAACACGCTCTCCCACGCTCACATGAAAAGCTCAACTCATCCCCCCTGTGTATGTGTGTCCACACACACATAAATTGGTATGCAGTGTGGGATGTGACATAATCACTTGTGCATTTGTGAGGCTTGCAGTGGAGCATACTTCCGGCTTTTTCGATAATTATAAGCCACACTGCATAATTGGTTCTACAGATGACTGAGTTTAGTCTCTGTCTTAAAATCCTATTATTTCCTTCCCCAATGAATGGTATTTAAATGAAAACACCGTTCTTGAGGACAGAACAGATTGTAGGTTTTAGAACTAATTGGCTTCTACATCTGTTTAAAAGTGTTGAATGACATCCGTTTTCAACAGCAGTATCCATCAGTATTTTGTTTTCTTCCTCTATAGCAACAGCTATACAAATACGCTGAATCCTCTTGGATAAGCACTTCACCAAGCTTGGGTTATAGTGTAGTGGAGAGAGGCTGTGAAAACGTAAACACTGTCCTATCCAAGTAGGCTTTCTATAAAATGATTCCTTTATTGAACCGTCATCTCTCCGACTCAGAAGTATGTCTAAAAATGCAATTTGGTTGCAACTTTCTTCGTAGCGTATAAAACTTATAACATTCTGCAAGAGGTTGAGTCTGTCCAGTAGACAACTCACTACTTCATGATCGCCGTATATCAAAATAATGTCATCTACATGTCTTCTATAGAAAGGCACTTTTTCAATTAAGTCAAAGGATTGGTTTTCAATATAATATCCGCTGACAAAGGTCCTAACAGACTCACTATAGCAACGCCATCCATTTGTCAACTAAGATTTCTCACTGAAAATCCCTGGTGTTTATTTCATTCCAATGAATTCTGAGTCATATTTTCATAAAAATAAATTAAGGAGTTTCGGCATGCATTAAATTGGTGTAGCACAGTCTTTGATTGGGAGGCATTCCAGGAAGGAACAGTACTAATATTCAGTGACTAATATTTTATTATTTACCCGGCTAGCTGCTTATTTGTATTCTCTTCCACTTCTTTTCGATGTTGTTGTGTCTGCGTAGCTGAACTGTCCAGTCGCTTCCCACTTGCCTGAATTGTTATTAAAAATGTTTAAAATCATATCTTATGTTTAAAGTTGACTATACCTAAAACTAACTAAATATATTGCTGTTAATTTCTACAGACTCCTGATTAAAAATCCTCATTTCATGAAAATGTACAAACCAATTCAGTCAGTGACGTTACCACAAGCATTGAATTCAGACTACCTTACCACTATGGCTATACGTTATGTGGACAGTATAGTGGATATTGTGGAGAATTTCAACGATGAAGAAAATTTACAACAAAAGATTAAATATCTAGCTGGTAAACATACAAACTGTGGATTAACAGTAGCGCATTTTGTAGTAAGTCTACAAATTTTATGCATCTGTGTGCATATGTGGCAAACATCGGGTATATCACAACAATCTGTTGACGTTAAACTCCCTAATTTCATCCCTACCTAGTGATAGACACTGAACATTTATTTTATTAGTGTTATTATTATTTAGTTTACTTCGAAAATTCTCTTTTATGCTGGAGTATAAGAGAGTTCCTCAAAATACTTTGAAACACTACAGCATATGTTTCAAAACGTTACTTCCTCCTGACAGTTAGCAACCGTTCAGTGTTGTTCAAAGGCAGAAAAAGCCGTCTGTTCATTTTATCCACAAGATACACCCGTCTAATAATCTTTATCAGACGAAAAGATAAATTAGCTACTAATCTCCAAAATATCGTGCCATTTAGCCCAATGGTCACAGTGGAGATTAGATTATTTTACCCCAGTCAACATTAGGGATATCCAAGGTTAACTGGTCACCATTCGGTGAGTAGTTTGTATTGACATCTTGAATTCATTCACAAGAGAGCGGGAAATGATCTCGTTTACTATCGATATGATCAAAAACATGCCATACATATAAATGAAATATCCTCAATTAAATTGTAATTCTCATCAGAATGCTTTCAGAGAAGAATTTACAAATTCACCTGCTATATGAAATCCTAACTGCTGCTAATAAATTAGTTTGAGACATGTTTCCTTATGTAAATGGACTAATAACAAGACTTCTGGTTACACTGATATTAATGGAATTTTGACCGGCATCTTTAATGCCAAACAGTATCATCATTTCAATCACTACATTCGTTTCCAACATCAATCAAACGAAGCTAAAAGTAAATCTGTACTGCTCTCAGTAACAAGTTTTACACTTATTTTAACCCATTGATAAAACTGATACCATCGAAGAGATTCATATTCAGGTACTAAAATTGCTAGCCCTAACCACCATGTTGTTCAGGTGACAACTAACAAATAGTTTTAATTTTGAAAAGAAATTTCTTCGCTGGATATAGACTTGCAGAAAGTAGCTGAACACTGTGGCATGCACAATCTTATCTGGGAATCATACATAGCGTCACAATATGATGATAAGCAAGTTAAAACTAGTCAGTTCATTGTCAAACACCTCAGTCAGAAATGTGCTGTTTATTCGTCAGCGGCTTTGAAGTGAAACTTTCAGTCATAACTACAAGTTAGAATTTTATTAGGGTACTCAGATAGTTTTTGTGATGACTTTACCAGCATGATATCGATCTTGCAACTCAATAATTCTAGGCTGTCATGCCAGGTAAGAGCGTAGTGCATCCAAGGCCAAATATTATTTTTAGATCAGTCACATGCACCTTCGAAAAGTCATCAGCTGAGAGGGCTTAAAAACAATATCACTATTCAATGGAAATCCTTGTCAAACTAATCTATTTGTCTGTAAAATGTACAGATATTTTGTTCAGCTTTCCGTTAACTGTCTCATCATTTTAATAATATTTGCCATAACTCAAACCGTGTACATTATCGCGACCGTAGAAAATTAGACGCATTATCGAATACCTAAAACAATCTGCACCGTAGCAAGATGATATACTCCTCTGACTAATATGAATAGTTGGAAACAGACAAGATAATCGCTTAGATCACTTCAAACTAGACACTAAGTACCACTAGTTGGTATAAGCGGTCTCCATCTGTTCGGACCAAACAAATATGTACATCAACTAGGTATTCTACCAGGATAACTGATGCCATTTATGTTGTCAAGCTGGTCAAATATTGCGATCAGAATTATTTGGGCTCCCAAAGTAGACCGTGATGAATCTTAACTTCAAGCTGTGCAGTTCACGGGTCGCGTCTTTATTATACTCACTAACATCTTCTATTGGGACTTTTATTCAGAACAATATGTAAAAGTAGTACATAATGTTGAAGTATAATAGAGAAGATATGTAGCTCAGGTGGATGATTTGCAATTAGTTGCATTCTCTGAGCTGGTTGATCTAATTGCGGAGCTTTAGTCGTCCTTCTGCAAAACATCTTCAGCTCAAGTTTTAACACAAACTGAAGTGATCTAAATTCCCCATGAATGATAGAATTGCGTCTCCTGGTAACCATCTTCGTGACTGGTAGTCGATTTACATCTGTATTGATCATTTTTTATTGACTCGGATTTTAAACTTTCTCGTCACCTGATTTACTTTTTATTAGCTGATTAAAAATGCCCATTAAAATTTTCAAAAGAATAGACACGGAACAAAGAGTACTCTTTTCGATAACTTCATCATAAAGCTCTACAGTTATATATACATTATAGTGAATGAATGAATTAGTCTTATGAACAACATTAATGTTGTTTAAATAACATCGAATCAATAATAATATTAAAAGATTACAGTTCAATAACATCAACATATAATAAGCTGAATGTCAGAAAAATTGGGAAAGATAATACTACAAATTCATGAATTTATAGTCTCTACTGAAGGCCAGCCAGGGCAGTAGTAGGGGCTAGATTTGCTTCTTTTGCACACAGGGCACTGGTTGTTTGAGGCGAATTGCAATAGCCTCTGCTGTTTGGAGCATGCGATGCTTCGATGTTTTTGGCAATTTATTAGGCACTCGGTAGATGATAGAGAAGGATTCTTCAACACTGGCTTTGTGGCCGGTTTGCACCAGATGGTCCAATATCGAACTGTTAATGTTTTTCACTACACCTTTACTTAGCCATAGTGGGAGATGTTCTGCAGCACGAAAAATCAAGTTCCTAGAGCTCCACAAGCGCAGTTGAATTGGTAGATACAATTTAGAGTGGCTAGTCTAGGTACTTCATCTTTCAGTCGAGGAACCCACATCGGTTATGTAGAGAATAAGACGTGTAGTTCGCCAGCATTTAAAGTTCTTTGAACTGATTTTCTTAATTTCCTTTTCTTAATTTCACTTGGTATATCGCCCTTGAATTGCAGTTGTATATAAAGAGGCTTCTTGTTTATAGATGGTGAGTAGTCCTTTTCCGCTTTCTTTGTCATGTGTTTCTTGATAAATTTGTTGGGATAGCTGTTTTCGATCAAAGTATCATATACAGTGCTTAATTCATCTTCATTTACTTCTTCTGAGCATATAGCTCTAACTCTGTGGATGAGGGTCGTTACTAAATTTCTTTTTTACTTGAGAGGAACGAAGCTGTAAAAATGTGTATATTGTCCTGTCCAAGTACTTTTTCTATACAGATTTCTTTTTATGCAACCATCTGGTTTTCTTGTAATGAGGATATCCAGGAAGGCAATTCTGTTTTAGGATTCCTCTTCGCACCTGAATTTCATAGCCGAATGAACCAGATGGTAGCATAAAAAGAAATCTGTATAGAAAAAGTACTTGGACAGGACAATATACACATTTTTTTCTGACATTCAGCTTATTTTATGTTGATGCTATTGAACTGTAATCTTTTAATATTATTATTGATTCGAAGTTATTTAAACAACAATAATGTTGTTCATGACACTAATTCATTCATTCACTATAATGTGGATATAACTGTAGAGCCTGATGATGAAGTTATCGAAAGAGTATTCTTTGTTCAGTATCTATCCATTCTTTGTTAATTTTTCACTCACCTGTTTCATCTCTTCTTTTCTTTTCACTTTATTGAATTGGTGACTACCTGCTGGACCGCTGAATAATTTGCACAATGCAGTCAATTTTGCCTATATTCACAGACAGTATTGTATCTTATTTGAAGATTGATGATAATAAAGAAAGTATGCAATTTATATTATCGACTGTATTTCCAATGATTGGGAAACGCCTATAATTTTCATCAAGCAATGCAAATAATTTACTGATGATATCGAATAATAAATAAAATAATTCAATCAGTCCACTTTGTTTTGCATTGTATTTTAAGAGTTTATCCATTCATCCCTTGGAAAATTATTCATGCATTGCATTTATTTTGTCGGTAGTCTCTGTATCCCGGTCAAATTCGATAATTAAATTTTTTTGTTTTTAATATGATGTCTGTTTGAAACTGTTCATTCAAATTAATATATGTGAGTTCGTCTGAGATGGATGGGTAGTTGGAAAATCCAGTACTTAAAAATATTTTAACTGAATGTAACTAAAATATCATTTATGCTTCTTTTTTAAATTCAAGGAAAATCAGTCTAACAGACAGGTTTTCCATTCGTAACTAGACCACCCATTAGAATGTGAATAACAGGGCGTAACTATTAAATTTCTTCTTAAAATTTCGTCAAGTTATCGAGAAACTGTTTAGTAAATGATGTTTTGCATTAATTTTAAAAAAATCCCATAATGTTTAAAATGTGAACCTACTGTGCATTTCTGGAAGGAATCTACTGCCAGCCCTTCACCTATAGATATTTTGATTATCACAGTTTTATTATTGCAAAGTATTCAACTACTGTGAAGTGATTTTCAACATTTCAGAAGTATGTTTGCCTATAGTATTTCACTTTACTGATCGATTCTAAAACTACACAGGATGCATACATCTGAAAATGAGATTTACATTTCTATAAATTGCAAATATTGTGTTAATTTGAAATGTAACTTACTGCAAGTCAACATTAGTAGAACAAATCTAAGAGATTCGCATTTGTTAAAATGTCCATCCTGACAGTTTTCATGAGCACGCATTCTGAACCTACTGATAGAAAGTAATGCTTTAATAATATTGTAAGCTTACTGGAGACGGCAAAACACCTAATACCACAACAGAAGTCATTTCTAGGGTACACTTAGTAAGAGTTTTAATACAAACAATCTATGAAACTGATAAGTACGATGCTAAATAAATGACGTCAGACAAGCAACTAATAGTTACAGGTTACTGATAACAAGATGCCGTGAATTAGGCGTATGCATCTGAAAATCCTTAGTAATCAAACTAATCTAGAGCTTCTAGAAGATTTCTACGACTTCATAGTTTCTGACCTGAACAGTTTAGACTCATTGTTATAGATGTTATCACTGAGCTTACTAGACAGATCCTAACTGTTCTACACGACTAGAATAGACACAGAGTATGCCTGAGTTCTTGTCGTGTTGAACTAATCACTTAAGATTCGAGAGTAACTACTACAGATCAGTGTTACTTGCACAGTGTACACCAATCTTAAGTTGCCTGCGTCTCATAAAATTAAAGTGTTTTCTGAGTGTCCAATAGTGGTAAATGCTAACAATAAATGATACTGAAAGGAAGCCTAATGAAAATCATAGGAGCATAGTTTGAGTGGAAATGTCGTCAGCAGAAGGCTTGCTGAGTAGTCAGAAAACTCAACAGCTTTCACGGTCCTCAACTTAATCGCAATAACATTTAAATTATATATTATGTTATTTGTGTAGAATACTGCTGATTGGTAGTAAATAGACTGTATTAGAACCCAAAAATACAGAAATAACTCATAACTCTGAAAAATATGAAATACGAGGAGTTATCAGTCAATTATAATCATTTTTAAAGACGTCTTACTTTATAAAACACAAAACTAAATGAATTAGAATGTGTTTACCCCACGATAAATGAATGAAATTTTATATTCCAGAAGTAAAAACCCACAACTATAAAGAAATATATTGACTTTGTTTCATCAACTTCATCTTTCAATCAGATACTTAGTGTTTATCTTGTTTCAGGAATTTATTTAAGTGTCATTTAGCTTCACGTGGTGATTTCATCTTAACTGACGGTGTCATACTTTTATAATAGTAGTTTCTTAAGACAGTAAGCGAAAGAAGAACTGTTGACATTTTCAAGAGAACCGCTCAAACTCTGCGTGTTAAGAAGGGATATGACAATACTGACCGAATTTCCCAGACATAAAACAACATCCTATGACTTGAAGCGATTTGTTTATTCGTAACAAGAGAACTTATTAGAAAAATAATTGGAAATCAACTAAACAGAGATTATAGGGACCAAAACGAGTAAGTAATAACGAGGGAAAAACAACTGAACAGGGTAGAACAAACGGTGATAAGCATAGAAGAAAGTTACTTGAAGGTAGGCTAAATATGTTTAACGTCCTCAGGACTGTTTTTGAGCCATTTTACCAGCAGACTACAAATTCCCTGTGGAAATTACTCTTGTGTTAACTATTGCCGGTAGTAAAAGACTTAAGTGTCTGGTGAATGCTATAATGCAAATGATCTTGTGTCTTGCGCTCCCAACTTCCATTCAACTAGTATAATTAATGAACTCCAGGCATTCATAATAAATTTTAACTACTTCAAATGAGAGGTGAGTGAAATAGGGACCAACTTTCTAAAACACTGACTCGTGGGCCTTATCAACTTTATCAAAGAGAAATTTAGGAAACTGAAAACAAAGAAGTGATTTGTACAACTTTATAGCTACATGAAACTATGCGTACAACTGTAGATCATTTCTATGTACATGCCTCAGAAACTGAGGGATCATTATTCTTTAGGTTCATTATTCTGAACCTGTTGATATGAGCTGCTAAGGTGTCAATGGATTCATATTCTAATACCTTTCTGGATAATTTTGGCTTTCTATAAAAACTAATATGAAACACAACAATTTCGCTCAAACCTTTTCTATCACTTTGAACTTATTAGTCTTAATTTCTTTACCATTCATAAAGCTTCTGTTTTAGCTTCTTTCTATTTGAAAAATTATTCTCGTTGAGGCTAATGACCAAAAGAAGTTTCTCAATCATACTATTATAGACTAATTCTTACTTCACATGACCTATATTTAACTATGTTCATTAAAGCGATAGTAAGTTTCATTATCAAGTTCATTAATTTCAGATTTATTTGGGTTTTCTATTTTATTACTTTTGAAGGTTTATTTTATCACTATTTTTTCTCTAACTGCTTCTTATGAACAGAAATCACTGGAATTCTCAGCTGATTCGCTAAACAAAATTACTCTTAGTTTATATTCAACGTCTAGTAAGCACAATTGTAAATGATATCAAAGAAGAAAATATAGTTATAGTAAAACAAAAGAATTTACTCACTGAAACATTTTATTTAATCAAAATTATTCTTGTTAATATTGATTAAACTCTTGTTTTACCAAAAAATCTTAGCTTCATTTAAACAGGCATAATAAATTCTAAATTTACGTGAACACCATATTAGGAAGAAGAGTAATAATTAGCTGGAATTTCAGTTATACCTTGCACATTTGCATTTATGCAACCTGAAACAACAGAAAAGATGACCTATACATACTTTCCTTGTTGGTATCATTTTATTTTATTTCAAAATAGTGAGTGAATCAAAGACAACCAATCACAAAATTATTTCCCTTAATAGATAAACACTGGAACCAGTTGTGTAGTTTTGTAGCCTTATTCAGTTACTCTGAATTTTAATAAAACAACGGTTAAAGGTCAAAGGTAGAAGCCAACTTATCAAATAGATTTCACCTAACAAAATGGGTAAATTTAGTCAGTTTTGAAACAGTGACAGAGACATGTACAAAAATAATTTTTAGGAAAAACACGTTTAGAAGTACTCAGTATAATTGACATTAAGGGATAGCATGATGTTAACCAATGAACTGAATGCTAATAAGAATATGTTGCACTATTATTTGCTTTGAATTCAATTTTGATTTTCCTGTTTATTGATTCGACCGAAATATTAGGCCACTGTTGACATGTTGCCTCCAAATCTGAAAGTTGCGACGATATTTGACGACTAACTTGAAGTAATTTGGTGGATGGTAACTAGCAGTGTAATCTAGGAGGCGAATTACGTCATGTTCAGTACTTACCAGCAAGATGTACCTGCATTCCTACCGATCAGTGAGTGGTAGTGTTCGCACCGAGACTCGAGCCCAATGCTCAACATTTCAAGCGCCAAAGCGTTATCCACTAGACTACTTGGGCTACGAGGACCACCTCTTGTGCTCTAGGCATCAGTCATTATTTGTTTTTAATTCAATTCTGATTTTCCCATTGACTGATAGGTTCAATTCTCAGCGGAAACATACTGGGAATACAAGTACATCTGGCTTGCGAGTCCTAAATGGGACGAAATGAGCATCCTGGATTACAATGCTAGTTACCATCCACCAAATTACTTCAGTATGCTGTCTCAATTTGGAAATCAACTCGAGATCGGTATTTGCAAAAAAAAGGGAACTACTTATTGGACATCATAAACAGGGTATAGGAAAGACCATTTTAGTAAACATATTTGATTGGTAATATCAAGTTATCCTGAATATTGGACGGTAATTTTAACCATCATAGTTTCACTTAATACCCAGTGAACCTGGACAGGTGTCTCTGAAACAGACAAAACGTTCTGATTAACTTAAACGGCATTTAATTATTCACATTTTCTTGTGGCATGTTTTTATAATACCTAACTTTTGCTTCACACTTTATTATATATAATGTTGGCTAAGTGATAGCAAATGCAAATCCTATCAGCAATAAGGAACACAGGCACTGTCCTACCAACTGCTTCCATTCATCGAAAACCGTTTAGAAACAGCATCCCTCTCTGTTAGATGGTTAGCGAACCGGCCAGTTTTAACGAAAGTTACAGCGAGCAGAGAAACAACTCATCATTTTTAGGATCTGTTATAAATAACATAATCTTATCACTATCGTATATTACATCACCATCAGACAAACACTTTGCGAATAATTTAGAGCAGTAGTCCTTCCTTACATGATTTGTTATTAATAAACTTCACAGGATTCAGGCCAATTGGATGACAGCACATGGACTATGCAGATTAGGGTCCCATTGGTTACGTAAATTAAAAAAAACTGTTATCTTCACATTTTGTGCCGGAAGTCAGCGATACTAAATACTTTCCCAATCTCAAATCCTTTCCCTACATAGAAAACCCTTTCAAAGTATC